ACCAGGATTCAAGTGGACTAGATGGTTTTGTTTCTAAGGCAGGTCAACGAAGACCAGGAAGGTGTGTAATAATGTTCTGTGCGCGAATTTTTGATGGGGCCGGAGCATTTTTTGCCCACTTATATCTGTTCCGTCCATAGTAAAAATTTGTTTCATTATTAGATGATGTTTCACATTCGTCGCTTGATAAGTTACTTACGTCAATTGCTGAATCTGTGTCGTGAACCGAATGTTCACTTTCAGTGTCAGTATCACTGTTATTAGAGTCACTATAAGTGTCAATATTTTCGGTTGGTTCCTCCAGAGATTCGAGAAAGTCAAAAACATTTTCACTTGTCACCGTACTTCCGCTAATTCTTAAAGCCATTTTAATGTATTATCTTAAATAATAATAACGTAACTACTATGGTAGGGTCAAATCCGACCGGAACTCAGCAGCACGTGTGTACTATCCCACTGATCGTTTGCTACTAAGCGGCATGCTAAACTACGTACTTAATTGGGAGAATACATAGAATAACAAGGTCGTTCGCCAAACTGTCTACCAGTGGCGCACGAAATTTCAAGTCATGGGGTCAAATTTGACCCCACGATAGTAGTTCACGGTTAATAGCTCAAATATACTTACTATTGCAGACTTTTTCCATTGAAAAAAGAAGAATTATTTTAAATAATGGAATTGTATACTAAACCCATAAAATTTTCCCTGTATATTTAAAATATAATATTTGAGTTGTTACAATTTAACATATTGTAGTAAATATTTGTATTATTCGCGGTGTTTATTTTAGTTAATATATTTTTATTGTTCTATTATGTTGGTTTAATTCTTTGTTAGTTCTGTTTAGTTAATTAGTTATTTCTACTTTGAATTTTATTATTATGGATTATCATATGTTGGAAATAAATCCATTTATTATTATGAATAGTTGATCATTAAATTAATATTTTTATCGAATTATGTAAATGTTACAAATGCTCTTAATAACAAAAACATCCAGTTGAGTTTAATATAGTGTCAAATGTCAAATTCGCTTAGAAATTTATAGCATGTATAAAGTATGTTTCTATTATTATGTAAAAAAAAAATATTTAATACAAAAGTTAGGCTAATTTTAGTTTATATCCTTGAGTTGCGCCAAATTTAGACAACTAACTTAAACTTTTTGGTAGCATTTAGCTTAAGTTTCTTCAGACTATTTTCAATAAACTTTTAATATTTTCCAGTTTTTTATTATTTTTTAAAAGTGATGATAATAATGCAAAATAAGAAATATTTCAAATGATATATAATTACAAAACGTACTCAGTATTCTTCTTCTTCTTCCTACTTTATAAATAGGCTCAATGCCTGTTTTACTTCGGTTTTTAGTCTCAATTGACGTTGTCTGATCATCTTTTCCTCGGTTGTCTCAATGATCTTCTTTCATTTGGCGATTTGTCTCTTGCTGTTCGTACTATTCTATTGATTTATGATATATGATTGCATTCATTATCAGATTAAATATTAATGGGCTCAGCGAATCTCCTTGTCTAATGACAGTTTCATATTTGATAGGTTGCGATAGTTTTCCTTTACATCTTACCATAGCTATGTTATCTTTATATATATTCGCAACGGTTTTTACTAAATTCAGTGGTATTCTCTTTTCATATAATAAATGTATCGCTTCCCGAATTCTTACTCTATCTTACGCTTCCTTCAAATATATCAGACGTACTCAGTATTGTGTTATATAATTTACATAATAAAGTACGTTAGAAAAAAAGTTAAAATCCCGGGTCGTCCAAAACTGGTTTCTGATCCTCCTCCTTCTCAGTCCTAATCCCTTTTGGGATGTGTTGACACCATCAGGCCTTCACAGTTTTTTTAGGATTTCCCTCCATCCTTCTCTGTCCTGGGCTAGTTGTTCGGCTTCATGTAACCCTTGGTTAGTTTCTGAAAGGAATAACAGAATCATGAATGTGTTGCTTGTGTGAGTCCATTTCAAATAGGTAAAGAAATAATAAATAAGACCTACTCACAATCAATTTAATTTAATTATCAGACGACCGGTTTCGCTTTCTATATTATGCAATAGGTCTGGATACAAAGTTAAATAAATGTTGAAATGATAAAACCCATATTAGGGTGTTGTCTAATAAAGATAAACAATTTAGATGTTGTAAATTACAATAATTATGCCCATATTACATGTCTATGGTTTTAATTTCAAAATGAGTAAGTTGAATAAAAAGGTATAAAAAGTTTTAAAAGGTAAGACCCACAAATTATTATAAAATAGTCTATTAGATTGTGATAAATTAATAAATGAGCATATAAATAAACATTACTTACATGCCGGTACTCTATTAATTAATGGATGGTAGAACATGGTTGAAACTACTATGTATTGTTGAATGGAGAACTCAATTCTGCTATTGTAGTTGTTTGACAGTAAACGGAAAGTTCTTGAGGAGATAGATTTGATCCAATGAAGCAGAGATATGTGTGTGATTGTTTGTTAAATGAAAGTGATGTTAGGAAGTTTATAACAGATACGATCAAGATCACCTCGTTTTCCACAATATTGACAGTTATTGTTGCCGACCACTTTTATTTTAAATAAAGGGCATATATAGCAGGCATGTCCAAAATGTAGTCGATTTACATTGGTTATATATTTACGTTGAGCGTTAAAACCAAATAGTTCGAGGAATGACTGCTATCTTATTCAGTTGGTATACTACAGAATTAGATAATAGAAAACCTGCTGTAACAATAATCTTGGCTAATTAATCTATATATTGATTAGCTCTGATTCAAATATCCTACATAACAATTTTATGTTCTTATTAGATTCATAGAACATTACTTTTCAGAAAAAGTATTTGTTAAGAATATGCGCAATTACTATTGAGAAGGTGCAGAGCAGATGCTAAGTATAGGGTAAATGGGGTTTTATATTACAGTATTTAAACTTTCTATTTATATACTTACAATGTACTACCACACTTCTTTTCAGTATATGGTAAGAATATAATTTTTAGAATATTCCAAGGAATTGCTGTAAACCTTCTATTTATATACTTAGAATGTGCAAGCAATTTAATTAAACCCAGCTTGTGAGACATGTTCCTTAAAATTACGTTCGGGTGTAACAATTCACTGGAGGGAGGTGTATTAACTCGTGTAAAACAGGAGTCACTCCACCTCGCTTTAATGCTCCATTCCTTGCCCCCTATAGTACTCTGATGCGCGATAGGCGAAGAACAAAATGCTCTTCGTGTGGGAGTCATGAGTAATATAACTCCAACATGGTTCTCTCTCCATCATCATCAACTAGCCTCTAACGTCCACTGCTGAACATAGGCCTCTCGCATTCTTTTCCACTTAGTCCGATTCCACATGGTTCTCTAACCGATTTTAAATTCAGACCAGCATGACGCGATTTTTCCTGTTATCATCTTGTGACTTATCCGCGAAACTAAAATTGCTTGCTTGCAGTTCAAGAGGTTGGGCCCTACTTGACGGATTTTTGTGATTTTCTGTTAGTTTTGTTGTTGGCTTATGCCGATTTTTTGTTAGTGTTTTTTATTTTTATTTTATGATTTTTTTGTGGCGATGCCGTTTTTTTTAGTATGTCCTTAAACAAAATCTTAAATTACTAGGACCTCCAGTTCTATTGTGCTTGTCTGCATTGGTAGAGCCACGAGCTGTCCTCTTTTTTTGTTTTTATTATCTTTCTGAGGGTTATTCTCTCTAAGATTTGTTTTATTCTCTCCGGGTATTTTTTATTTTGTTCTCTCTCTAGGCTTTTGTTTTTTTTTTTATAGGGTTTATTTTATATTATCGTATCTTTGAATATTATTTATTTTATTCCACTATTTGCTGTTTTTGACGTTTGTGTTACCATCGATAGAACGTGTCGTATCTTATGATCTCTCGCAATATGGGACTTCGATGATTCTCTAGTTCTGCGAATTTTATCCTGGTTTTTTCCTTTATTTCAGTCACTCTGATTTGTTGCAGTTCCCTTAATAGGAATCATTCTCTTAAGTTGCTGATATGGCCGCTTGTTTGTTTTGTGATATACATACGTGTTCCCATGCGAGAGATACGTACGTTAGTATCGGTAGTATCATACTATTTATTAACCTCATTTTTGTTTTCATCCTCAGTTTACTTTTTCTACCTGCAAGTCCTCTTATTGATACTTTTGCTATGTTTACTTATTGTAAGTGTTTTGTAAATGTGAGTCCTTTGTCCATTATGACTCCCAAGTATTTAGCTTCGCCTTTCCTTTCGATGTGGTTTTCTTTCACTATTATTTATTTTTCTGGCTTTTGATGTATCTTTTTGAAGAGCAGTGCTAGCTTTTTTTCGAAGTTTATAGCAATTTTCCATTGTAAACTATATTCTTCAATGTATTTCTACGCTGTTTATAGGTTATACTAAGAATGTTCTACCGCACAACTTTTTATTCTACGATTCTAAAAAGCATAGCTATGGCCCTCCAAATAATATTATATATTTATACAACTGCCTATCAAAAAAAAAATTAAGAGGTATATAATACTTAACTAAAATTTATGTACACCTACTGACTTTTTGAGTAACATTAATGAATTACCAAAGTGAATATTACTTTCAACCACGTGCCCGCAAATAAAATACTAACAATTATAACTAATCATAGTATAGGGCCATATTTAAGGAAAACTTAACTGCTGTTCGTTGTCTGGCATTTCTTCAAGATTATTTGAAACCACAGCTGAATCATCTATTTCCAAATAGAAATGGTTTCTGGTTTTAATAGGATGGGGTTATTTCACAGTAGGGTGTTAAGGTACGAAATTACTCAAATAACCCACCTATTTAGATAGGTATAAGGAATCTATGAATGGTCACAGAGGTCTCCAGATTTGACCCTTTTAGACTTTTTGTGGGGATATTTGACAAGTGAAGTGTATCAAAGTCGACCGAATAATATAGAAGAGTTGAAAAAGCGCATCAGAACGGAAATTGCACAAATAACTTATTTACTGATAACGATTTATTTCATCGAAACAACAAAATTGTAATCCAGATGTATTTTGTTTTAAAATAATTTTACGTTAAACTTTTAATGTCATTAAATTAGTATACGAAAAATACATTTTTTGTACAAATGTAATAATGAATAAAGTATAATAATGAAATTAAAAAGTGAATTTCACTTTTTTATTATTATTTATTGTTTTTGTCCTATAAGTTGGAGCCAATATCCCTTGAAACCATCCACTGCTTCTTTGTTTAATTTTGAATAAGGTAATTCAGACATCCGTTTCAACCAAGCGGCTATTCTTGGATACTTTTCTTCGGTATAGCATCCAATTCCATTCCAGGTTGTAAGTGAAGTCCAGAAGCTAAAATCTGCTACTGTCAATTCATCACCGGCTACGTATTTATTTGAATCCAAAAATTTTTCAACTATTTCATACGCTTCTACCAAGGCTGCCAGATCTTCTGGTAGAACATCTCGTTTTTGTTCATAGAAAACTCTTTTCTAAAATAAAATCAAAGAATTATTGATTATTATTATTTTTTACTTATTTACATTATTTTAACAAAAAAAAAGGTATACTTGTTAATAACTTCAAAACTCAATAGTTTTCGAGATAATCGCATTTTACAAATCAACTGCATAATTCTGATTTAACGCAATTACTCCAGGCAATGAAAAAAAAATAGATAAAACATCAATACATCTGAATATTGTTATAAAATACCTTAATAAAGTCAATAATTAACGAAATATTAAATAAAATAAATATATCAGCAGGATAATTAATAATAGGATTTGATAAAATAACAGAATAATTGGATTTTACATCAAACATTTTATTTTAATTTGTATTAAATTAAAGTCATAATCAAAACATTTTATTTACAAACCAAATTAAGAAATAGTTAAACTAAATAACATTAAACTTTTTGTCAAAGTAAGTGTTCACTATGTCCACCATTTTCTTTAATTCATTTGTGAATACATTCCATAAAATATCGTCTCATATTATAGAGTCATTGGTTCTAAAGAAACTGCTGCAGTATTTATTATAAGTGTTATAAGTATAATAATAAGTAATTTTTTGAAATGTTTATGAATTAAATAATTATATTAATATCTCACAACAAGAATATGACTACCATGAACAATCCAACAATACTAGTGTCAGTAAGTTTTGAAAGCTGATTTGACGGATGAAAAGGGAGAATTTGTAAGTACCAATGCATTATTATTCCCGGAGAGATTCGTAGTTAAGCAGATAAGGGCAATCCCAAAACGAGATAGAAACGTGAGTCAGGACATTTGTTTTTGATCGACAGGACTGTTTTTATCAGCAGAACCAGGGAAGGAGTTTTTCGATATAGAATCGATTAAAGTGAATCATTTTCATAAAGTACAGAGAAACATTTATTGAGACGATACAATAGATTGGACTAATTTTCTTATTGTAATTTTAAATGTGAAAGCTATATGTTTTGGGAAACATTTATTTCTAAGGGATTTACAGGGAAGAAGATTTTATTTCTAAGGAAAAAACATTTTCAAATTCTTCTTCTTTTTCTTGCAGTGCCTATCAGTTTCGGATGTTGGTGACCATCATGGCAATCTGCATTTTGCAAACTGCCGCTGTGAAAAAGATTGTGGTTTTTGTGTTGAACCTCGCATGTAAATTTTTTAGCCAGGAAATCCTTCGCCTTTCTGGTTCGCGTGTTTGTTTTACTTTTCCTTGTATAAGTAATTGCAGCAGCCGATACCTTCGCTGTTCCTCATGATATGACTAAGGTATTCGGTTTTTGCTACTTTAATTATTAACAACTCTTTTTTCTTTTTGCATTTTTATTAAAACGTTTTGGTTAGTAACGTGGTCGGTATAGAATATCTTTAGGATTCGACGATAAAGCCACATTTCGAAAGCTCCAATTTTCTTCAAGGTAGCGTTTGCGAGAGTCCACAACTCAACTTTGTACAATAGTATAGGAAAGATATAACATCGTAGTAACCTGATTTTTATGGGTACTAATAAATTATGGCATTTGAATTAATAGCTTAGCCATTTTTTGAAATGCAGATCTTGCTTTCTCTATCCTATATTTTCTTTCTAGGGAATGGTCCCAATTTTCATTGATGTTCGTTCCAAGGTAGGTGTATATTTTTACTCTTCCTATGGGTTGACCATTCACAATGATTCTTTCAGTTTGCTGTTCCTTCTGTAGTTCATATCTCTGACTCACTTCTGTAATTCTATTTGTTAACTCCTGGAGGGCTTCATAACTGTCAGCTCATCTGCGTATAAATCAGATACGCAGATGAGACTGTATTGCGTTATTAATACATTCTCCATTAATTCGACTGCTGGCTTTAACATCTACTGCTTCTTGAAAGATTCCCTTAGAGTATATGTTAAACAACAAGGGTGATAGTATACATCCCTGTCGGAACTCAGGTTTGATTTTGATATCGTCGGATTCTCCTGCCTCTGTACTCATTGACGATGTTTGACTCTAGTAAAGATTGTTAATAATTTTTAGGTGTTTATTCCAATATTTTTTAACAGTTCTATCTGCTTGTTGTCTTTTACTGTATCGACCGCTTTATGGTAATCAATGATGCATGCATAAATATCGCAATTCACATATCTACATCGTTGAAATAGCATTTGTATGCTAAAAAGAGCCTCTCTCGTACCCACTGCGTTTCAAAAACCAAACGGTGTACGGCTGATTTTTTCTTCGCATTGTCTATATATCCTTTGATGTATGATTTTTAGAAATAATGAGGCTCATTAAGCTGATGCTCCGAAAATCATTGCAGGATACGGATTTTATTTTCGTTGGTAGAGCAACAAACGTTGACTTCAGCCACGATCTCGGTATTACTCTGTTTCAATATGTCATTGAATATTTTTGTTAGTCGTTGAGTACCGTCGGTGTTAAATAGCTTTATGAGTTCAGCATATGGATTGTCAGGTCCAAGAGCTTTGTCATATTTCTTAATTTTCTTAACTGTGAATTGAAGTTTTTACTTAATCTGTGATGATGTTTCTCTGTTGATCTTTTTAAAGACAGCGGCTTGTTTTACCTTTTATGCACATTAAATTTATCATGTTTTTGTTCCAACAACTCTATCTCTTCACACTGTGTTTTTAACCAATTTTCTTTAGCCCTTCGTATTTCGGATCTTATTTGTCTCTGAATATTTTTGTACATTCTTTTATTATTCTTTAATTTTCTTCTTTCTTCCATGAGTTGCAGTATATTGTTATTTATCCAACTTTTCCTCTTCTTTCTATTTTCTATTAGATGTTGTTCTCTGATCTTGTTAAAGGTTTTACATATATTCTGGAGAGATTCTTCTGGATCATGTTACTTAGCTTTTCTGAAAGAACCCGTGCGACTGTCTCTTTCTATTGTATTTTTGAAGGATGTTAAAGGTATGTAATATTGATATAACTTTTATTTATTAATTGAGTCGTAGGCTTGTTTAAAAATAATAAAAAAAGCTTCAGTCAAGTATATTAATCTAACCCAAAATGTTTATAAAATACATACCACAATACGAGCACCTCTTGCAAAGAGGATATTGGAATCAAAGTGAAGTCTCTGATCAACGATGGCTCTCTTTTGTAAATCTTTTGGATACAAAGAATCATTTTTTCCATATTTCGATACTAAATAAGTCATAATAGCATGACTGTCGATTAAAATAAAGCCATTGTCATCTAAAACTGGTACTGTGTGTTGTGGATTTATCTGAAAAATCAAAATATAAGTTTGAACAAACTATATAGGCATACTTTATTCTCTAGTTAGGTATTTTTATAAAAAAAAAATTAGTGACACAGTGAATAGAATAGAATAGAATAGAAATACGCGTTATTGTCACTGAAAATTATTGAACAATTTTATGGACAAAGCTAAAAAATAAATCAGTCAAATAGTACAAAAAGTATAAAACAAAAACAAATATAGTAAAAAACAGAATAGCACAATTTTAAATTAGTAAAATTATTGTATAACCTACATAATTTGTACAGACAACAACAAATGAGACAAATTGTAGCCACTGCTTGAGACACCCAAATGTAATTATAAACAATACTAATTTTGTTTCTTTGTTATACATTAAGAAACTCGTCAACTGAATAATATGGTCTTTCTGAGAGATAGATTTTTGTCACCTTACGAAACTTAATGAAGGATGTTGCGGATTTAATTTCTCTTGGAAGGTGATTATAAAGTTTCTTTGCACGATATAGAATAGAATTCTTTACTAGCTGAGTGGACGGGATCGGCAAATAAACGTTACAATCCGAATTTCTAATGGAGTAGCCATGGTCAGGTCTTTCGGGAAAAATGTTTAGATGCTTTTGAATCAAACAAACCGTTTCCAAAATAAATAAAGAGGGAAGCGTCAAAATTCCGTGATTTTTGAAGTAGGTCTTGCAATTAGTTGTTTGTTTGAGACCAAATAGATAACGGATTGCTCTTTTTTGCAACTTAAAAATGGTATCAAATTGGGCCGCTGTACTAGAACCCCAAAATGGAAGCCCATATCGAAGATGGGACTCGAACATTGAGAAATATGCCATTTTGGCAGAAGATAAATTTAGTTCCTTCGAAACAGATCTTATTGCAAAGCAAGCTGAGGCTAGTTTCTTCCTTAAGGAGTCAGTATGCAAGGACCATTTGAGATCACTGTCAATGAGAATACCTAGAAATTTCACGGAATTTACGATATTGGGCTCTCATTCAAAAGAAAGGGTTGCATGACTCCTTTATACGATAATGCTACAGTCTTATCTACGTTAAAGCTGAGTAAGTTGGAGTCTGACCAAGCCTTGATTATAAGTAAATCAGCGGTTATAATTGAATGAAGCGTTGAAATATCAGAGCTGCTCCAAGTAATACTGGTATCATCAGCAAATAGAAAAATTTTCCCTTTAATTTTCAAGTAAGTGATGTCATTAATGAAAAGTAAAAAAAGAATGGGACCTAATACTGAACCTTGCGGTACTCCACACTCAATATCTTTACATGGTGTCATTTATTCTAACCAATTGTTTCCTACCTACCAAGTAAGTTTTGAACCAGTTCAAAGACACACCCCGAATTCCATAGAAAGTTAATTTTTTTAATAGAATGTCGTGATTTACGCAGTCAAAGGCTTTGGAATAGTCGCAGAAAACAGTGGCGGAGGGCGGAGGAGAGGTTACTGTTTAGTGATAGATATACATCATGTAACATAGAAAATATGGCATCACTAGTGCATTTATTACTAGAGCCAAGAGCAGATAAACGCAGTAGAGGAAGACCACCTACACGTTGGGCCGACGACATCAGGCGTATCACTAAAAATTGGCAACAAAGAGCACAAAATCGTGAGGAATGGAGGAGTTTAAGGGAGGCCTATGTCCAGCAGTGGACGTGATAAATAGAGGCTGGATGATGATGATGATGAGTGCATTTATTAGACAAAAAGCCGAACTGATTTTGCGATAAAATATTATATTTAAGGAGAAAGGGCATAAGTCAAACTTTTATAAGTCTTTCAATAATTTTTGATAGTACTGGTAACAAGGCAGTAGGTCTATAGTTGCAGGCATCAGATTTTTCTCCACCTTTATGAAGAGGAATGACGATGGCAGTCTGTAGGCAGTTAGGGAATGTACCTTTTTCAAGGGAATCATTTACTAGCGAGACCATGACCTCCAAAACATTATGCGGTAGATTTGAGAAAATTTTAATAGATAATCCATCTGTACAACAGGTCGATGTGCTTTTTATACTACGAATTGTTGAAATGAGTTCCGTCTTATCAACTGGTCTTAAAAAGAAGGTATCAGAAATGTTTTTTGAATTAGAGAGATAGGAAACTGGATCTTGTTGTGGCGAAATAGTTGAGGTTATATTTTTACTCACATTAACAAATTAATCATTTAGATTTTCGGGGTTAGGAAAAGAAAAGGTTTGATTCGCTGTACTTACTGGTTTTATTTCGAAAATCGTTTATTATTGACCAAGTTTCTTTTGAAATATTTTTGGAGCTTGTCAAGCGATTATGAAAGTAGGATTTTTTGGCTACTTTGAGGAGTTTTATATAGCATTTTCTGTACTTGTTGATATAATCAGAGATGGGGATACTGTCATTAAATTTTTTAATATATAGCAGAGAACGCATATTTTTCGCAGATATGCGAATGCTTTTGGTAATCCAAGGTTTGTTATGTTTTGGCCTGATGTTTAATAGAAGAAATGCTTTATTAAAAATAGGTACAAGTCTATTTAGAAAATTACTAACATTACAGTCAATGTCCCCAGAACAAAAACTCCAGTCAGAAGTCAAGCATGAATTATAGAATTTACGAAAGTTTTGAGTGGAAAAAATCCTACCTAATCGTCGGGTTTTTGAGTGAGATGTTTGTAAACTGCTACACTTGGTATATACCGCTTCATGATCAGAAAGCCCCCCTCTAATAACTGTAGAATGGACGTCAGCGGGTGGAAAATCGGAAACCACATAATCAATTGTCGAGGATGATGTTTTTGAGATTCTTGTTGGAGAATTAACGTGCATTGTGAGACCATATGATCCAAAAATAGTTACCAAAGACAGTTGGATCGCACAAACAGCAGCGTAGTCAATATTAAAATCACCACATAAAATTTTTCTGCTTTTAATGGGCAGAATATCTAACAAATTTAGCAGACTCTGAAAAAATAGTTCAGTATCAGAGCTAGGTGATCTATAAATGCAAATAATGTATAGATTAAATTTTTTATTATAAATCAAAGAAAATTCGAAGTAGTTTTCACCCAGCAAATAGTCATATTTCGAAACTGAAGAAAAATCATTGTTATTTGAAAGAATCAGAGTGCCACCATAAGCTGAACTTGGACGATCATACCTAGCAATTGTGGTATATTCTTGAATGAAAATTGGCTCATTAACTTCAAGCCAGTGTTCCGTCACTGCAACTAACTGGGGAAACCCTAATTCTTCCAGAAACAAAAATAATTCGTCTGTCTTATTTCTAATCGATCGAATATTAATAAGAACCATGCCAAAGTTGCTAGCAGTTAAATTTGAGGATTCTAGACCCTCAGAACACGTCGAAACCTTTAAAAATTTCGTCTTGGAGAAGCGGTGGAAAAGTAATTTTGATGACATTCCCTTGATCTTTGCAGATGGATAATTCTTTCAGCAGCGATAAAGGACCTAAACGCAGCTAGATCTTCGTCTACCTCAGCTGGACCAATTCCATAGGCATCATGAAATTTCAAATAAATTTTTCGCAGATCTTCTGTAGTCATGGAAAATCCCTCAGAAGCCAAGAATAGTTTGAAGCTTGTTTTCGTAAAACCACCATAACAAACCGAAGCAGGTTGGTCGTACAGAAAGGCAAGATGCAGTTTGATGACTTTTTATATCTCTGGTTCTCTTAATCTTGCTAGAAGATATCGATTGTTGGAAGGGTCCGTGTTCGTGGTTAATCTAACCTTCGGTGGGGTCATAGGGTCCAGATTTACAGTAGGCGTTGCAATATTTTCTTTAACAAAATTAATGTGAGAATAAGGATGCGGTTTTGATTTGCAAATTTCAATTGCATGTTTATCTGAGACTACATTTATCTTTTCCCCTGTATTTTTGTTATCATTCAAAATGGTTAATGAATTTTCTTGACTAACGGGGCTTCTAGTATTCTCCATGGATTGGTTGTTTAATTCTGGTAATGACTCTAAATACCGTGGTTCAGAAGTTGGAGATTCAATAGACCATTTAATGTGAACGTTAGGTGGCCAAATTTCCTTATTAGATAGTAACTTAATGGAGGATTTAGACTTGATACCTATTTTGAATGATGAACCATTAGAAGGACCTTGTCTTTTCATAGTGAATATAATGTCTTTTCATAGTGAAATAGAAAATGAGAAATACTATTCCGAAAAAATTTTTATTTCCTTCTTCTTCTTCTTTTTCAAGTTCCACTCCTATCGGAGATTGGAAATTATTCTGGCAATTATAATTTTATTGGTTACTCGCCTGAATAGTTCAATTAAACTGCATCCAAACCACTCACGGAGATTGCGTAGCCACGAGATTTTACGTCTTCCTACGCTACTTCTACCTTTGATTTTACCCTGCATTATGTTCCTTAGTAGTTCGTACTTTTCACCTCTCATGATGTGCCCCAAGTATTCCAATTTCCTGATCTTTATGGAATTTAAAACTTCGCATTGTTTTTCTAGTTGTTCGAGAACTTGTTCGTTTGTTTTGCGATCCATCCATGATATTTTCAAAATGCGTCGGTAACACCACATTTCGAATGCTTCTAGGTTTTTAATGTTGGATTTTTTAAGTGTCCAAGCTTCAACTCCATACAAGAGGGTAGAGAAAATATAACATCGAAGCATTCTTATCCGGAGCGATATATTGATATCGCGATTACAAAAAAGTTTTCTCATTCTATTAAAAGTTGACCGCGCAATTTCAATGCGGCATCTTATTTCTTTTGGTATTTGTACGAAGATATTTGTTCAATTTCTGTATTATCTAGTACTAGCTTAACTTTGATGTTTTGTGCTTTTGTAAATACCATGAACTTGGTTTTCTTCAAATTGATTTTTAGTCCATAATCGTTGCAATATATATTTAGTTGTTCAGCAAGGTGTTGCAGTTCTTCTAGTGTTCCTGCCAAAAGGACGGTGTCGTCAGCATATCTTATGTTATTAAGTGGCTCACCGTTTATTAT